TAAATCATATTGATGAGCTCAAAATAAATCGAAAAAATGTATTGTATATCGTACATAGCCATTGATATGAGAAACATTTATCGATATAAAAATTACTTATGAAAATGATTTCTTTTTTCATGTATAATTGCCATTATAAAACTTAGGCATAAGACGCATTCATAGTCTTGATCGCCATTGATAATCTGTAAAATTGATATAACTGATGTAGATATTATTGAATTATTGTGATTAAGTTATTCAGTACTCAACTTAATTTTATAAAGTTTACTGGTAATAGATCATTCTGAATAAATTTAGTAACTCTTTTAGGGACAATATACTTGGATTAGGACGAAAACATTAAACTACAAGCTACAAGATCTTCATTTTTATTTACAGCGTTGAGTATTACTCGTACAGCTCATACAGTAACAATTACGACTTCTTAGTTTTAAGCCTTAGAAAATCAGTCAGTTATAACAGCTATGTAATTTCTATTTCGATGGGATCTGCTAGCACTGGTGAGTGGGTTACTGTAGCTGGACGGGGCGAGAATCATGAAGGTGGCCCAAAATCGAATCACCTTCAGAAGTTCACTATCCCTATCATGAACGATCCTGATTTCAAGAAAGCTTACCCGAACGAAATCTATGATTATGTGCAATATGCTAGTTGTACGATTAAAGCTGGCTTGGACTCTTGCTACGGAGACAGTGGTGGTCCGTTAACGCGAGGAACAGGTACATTAGCTGTCCTTGTTGGAGTTGTTGGCTGGGGCGATGGCTGGTATTTACTAAATTTTATCCAATTTTTATTATAGCATAACTGAGCTACATATTGATTTGCTGAAGTCGGCTATGGTATTATAATATCGTTAGAATAACGCAATACTGTACTGTTATCGCAGGAATATATAGCATCATAACAACACATATTTGCTGGAGTTATCTATTAAATATTGCTAGTATAAGACATACAGTATATTTGGAACACAGTTTACCATTATTCCGATAATTAATGTATCTCGATAAATATTTACAAGCTCATTTCACCTAATTTATTAAAAATAATAATATTCTACTAAAGTAATCGCAAAAAGAGTTTTTAGAAACGAACGCAATTTACTAATGACTGTATCTTAATGGCCTAGCATGCTTTACTACTGATACTATATTGCACTATAATTTATTAAAAGAATTATTTAAAATTTTCGAAACATTTAAAGAGCTAAACTTAATAACAAAATACAATACTTTATTTAGGTTGTGCTCGCTACGGCAAACCAGCGTCTATGCGTGTCAGTAAAATCCAATCATGGGCTAGTGGCATCTACNCGCACTACCTTATTATGATCTTACTACAATATGCTAATATTGAATAACTTAGTCCATTATAACTACCGACTTGATTATAAGTGATGTACACCATTGCTTATTAATATAACGTTTCAACTCTTCATATTGTCACTAGAAGTCTGGAAGTCTAGATAATTAGGCTTATATTTATCGGGTATCTGTAGATTAAAAAATAAGTTTGCAACCTAATTCATCTATCGTGTTCGGGTCAATGATAAATTTGCTTGTATGGTAAAATGTTTCCATTAGCTTAATACGTACGGTAAATTAATTCAAGTAGGAAAATTAGGTTATAGTGAGGCCTTGGTAGTGATAAATAAGATATTGGACTAGTGGTGTTAAGATCACATTGTAGTATTATGGTCATCGCATATGGGTAGTGGATGATGTTAGAGACGTTAGTTGTAACTCTAAGTGAGACTGTAGGGCGCCTCAAAAAGCGGCATCAGCATGTCTCAATAAATTACGTATGATTGGCTCAGAGTGAGAGATGATAATCATACCTAGTTAGGGGTCTTGCACATGAAGGAGCCATATTAAATATTAATTAGTGTAAGGAATACTATCGGATAGGGTAAGTTAGGGTTTTACTTGAATTGACTAGAAGATTAATTTAACAAACATATTTGTTAATAAGCTTTCAGGAAAGTATAAATGGCCTACACCTTTAAAGAGGAGTAGAGTCGATAGCCTTCAAGCTAGCTGTACGTAGTTGTATGATCTGAAGTTTTAATACTGTAATATTCAACAGTAAATTTTAAGTAATAAATTAATTTTAACCGCTTCATTGTGATACTAGTGACTGGGTGACTAATAGGAGTAGGGCTAGCATCGCAATATTTAAATCTTCTGAAGAAATTCATGCATATTTCGATTCGATTTTCATCGTATGAGTAATTGTTATATGTAAATAAATGTTTGAAATTATTTCACTATATATAACATTTTGATTTAGTTTAGCTTCTATTTTAGTAATTATGCGCAACACTGAACGGCAATTACAGCTTAGATTTCTTGAAGGTAATATGATTCTTGATGTCTTTCAAGCTATACGGCGCCTCTACTACCTTAATTTTTTTAACCTTGATAAGAACATGTATTTCCCGTTATATTCATCATTATCATAGCACACTGACACTATTGAAAAGTTATTCAGAATAAGAATTAATTCGGAAAGTGAATTAAAATTCATTTTCCTTATTAATCATGATTCACTAAATCAGAACGACTATTTTCATACCACAGTGTAATACAAGAGTGTATTTTATAGTTTAGTAATATCAGATGTCAACTAATATTTTATTGCTTGATTATTCGCTTTTGATTGTTACTACTTTTGCAAAATCATCGATACATTTGATTTAGAATATTATGAACGTATAATTCCTTATTAGCTCAGAAATAAAATCACTCTTGATCATAATAATTTCATGCTGATTTTATTCTGTTCTATAACGATATTTCTATTCCTGACATAACTAAAAAGTAACTTCATTGGTGGAAAAGTTACTTAATTAATGCCATTAATAAACTAGACTAATGCTACTCTTATTAAACTAAGAACAATATTTGGTAAATTGATAATTTTAGGGTATTCAAGAATCGGTCCCATTCGCTTAACCATTTAT